ATATATGTATGTATATATATATATATATATATATATATATATATATATATATCATAGATCATAGATCATCCTGGTCATATTTTAAAAAATAAATAAATATTGTAAAATCTCTGGAATATATTTTCATATATGTTCCTCTTAATTTTGCTTTTAGCTGACTGGCTTCCTATTTTTTTAAATTTTTCTAATTTTTGTATGAGTGATAATAAAGAGATAGCCTAAAAAACAAATATATTACAAAAATATATACCTAAACTTTTATGCATGGATACATTTTGGATATACGGAAAAACTTGAAGCTTAGAAAAATATCCAGAATTCCGGAAATAAAAAAAAGATAATCCCTGACATACAAGGCGTATAGCAATCCCAAATAGCGATTAGTTTTTTCTTAAAAAAAAAAAATATTTTTTTTTAACTTACCTTTTTTTTGCCATCTTTAAAATTAATGTTTTTGTTTAAGTTTTTCATTAGGGATCATAAAGTGCAGCTCGCAAATTTACCTTTTGAATAGTATAATCATTTGCTCTATTGCATCAAGATTCTTATTCAACATAAAGCATATTTGAATTTTATTTTAGATACAAGTTTATATTATGTTAACAACATATATATTATATGGTTGTAAATAGAAACATTTATAAGACTAACCTTTGCGAGTCCTTGAGTATATTAAGAAAATTTAATAGTTAAGTAGCTGTAAGTTACTTTAGTAAATTAACTGGTCTAATTAAATTATATCACTTTTGAAAGTTATATTTAGCTTGATTTACTGAATAGATAAAGTACATCACAGTAAATTTACCTATAAAGTAAATCAAAACAACCAGTTAACTACAGTAACTTGCAGCTACTCAACTATTAAATTTACTTAATATACTTAAGGACTCGCAAAAATTAGCCATATAAATGTTCCTATTAACAACATATAAGATATATGTTATTAAAACATAACATAAGCTTGTAACTAAAATTTATCTTAACCAGAAATCTTGAATATAATATAAAAAAACCAATACCATTTTTTAATATTTGACACACTCCTGTTAATGTTTGCTCACTGTTTGCACAATGTTATATAAAACAAGATTTTTACTTTTATATATTTTTTAAGAATCATATTATAAAAGAAAAAGCCCAAACATGTAAACTGTAATTTTAAATTTTTTTTATATATCATTTATTCATTAATTGCAATTTGCGGCAAAATCTTACAAGAAAATAATCAAGAAGATTTCAAGAAAAGAAAAATAACCAAGTACAGTTAAAAGAAAAAAATGTTGTTTTAAATACAACAATTGTTATATATTATATAATAATTGCTATATAATGTATAATAATTTTATATATAAAATATATTATTATATATTAAATATTTTTATTAGAATAATAATAAAATAAGAACTTCAATCATTTATGAAAAAATATTTTTACTACCAGTAAAATGAAAGTAATCTAAATAAGTGAAGTAAAAAAAATAATATAATTTACAACATATTTAATACTTGTCAAATTAGCAAATTAAAGCAAGTTAAAGTAGTAAATCAGCAAATTAAAGTAGTGCATTGTGAATAATAACACTATTTAAAACACATTTTCAAAATTTAAATGACTATGAAATTTTAGTATATACTTTTTTGTCAACCCCTTAATTCAAATCTCTGATCTTTTATTCAACTGGTCAACCATGATCGGGAAGAATTCATTTTGTTAGGTCAAAATAGCAATTTTGTTCAATCAGGCGGCCGTTGACTGTTGACTGGTCATTATTTTCGTTATTTAAATGCAATAAAAAAATTGTTAATTTTTTTTATTGCATTTAAATTTATTTCTTTAAATTATGAAGAAGTTAAATTAAAATCTTTCCATTGGAATGGAATGATTTAATGGCTTTATTTTTGTTGTTGTTGCTGTTTTTACAAAGAATTGTTGATAAGCTTTTTTTAAACTTGACTTACTAATCAGATCATGAAATTTAAAAAAAGATCTTTAAATAAAGATCAGATCATAAAATGATTAAAAGTTTTAAAAAGACTACTTTATTGTAATTTTTTTTAACTTTTTGAAAAAACTTTTTGAAAAAAATGCTAATACAATTTTACTATTCAATAATTTTATTTTACTTTTCAATAATTTGAATAAAACTTAAATGATCATTAGAAGTAATTTATAAAAACATTTTGTATAACTTTAATAAAATGTTTCAAAAGATAAGTTTTAAAGTAATTTATTTTAATCGCAATTAAAAACGTAACAAAAAATGATTTTGACTTTGAGTTTGAGTTTTATTTTAAAACTTATATAATTTTTTTTTGGAAAAGAATCTTTTTTTTTTTTTCTTTAGCATTTCCAATTTTTTTTCGAATTTATGTTTATCTTTGCTTTTCTCTTTCAGTGCATTTCTCAATTGTTTAAAACATTTAAATAGGCGTCGTCAATTTGTCGACAAAAAAAATCATTTACATGGTCAGCAATAGCGTTCGATCAAATGTTATTTCTGTCCAAGCCTGATATATATGTATACCAGGGGCTAAATTAGACTATTTTTGACAGCGTTTCAATTTTTGGACGCCACTCAAATTCAGAAATTAGGGACCTTTTTTTTTTTAACAACAAATATCACTTTTTATGCTAAAAAATTGCCTATATACAGCAAAATTTGTTACAGAAAAGTGTCGGCACAGGGGTACCATTGCCTAAAGTATTTTTCTAAAATACCCCTTGTGTATAAAAATATATATAATAACAATAACAATATATATATTCTTAAATAAAAGTTTACATTTCATGGTTGTTTACTAATAGTACGAGTACTAATCTAAGGTAAACATCAATTAAATAATAGTAGCAATCATATAATAATAATGTAAATTAAACGAAGAGGACTATAAAATAATAATATCAATAATACTATTAAATATAATGATGACAATAATAATGATTATATCAGTAGTTATAATAACAACAGCAACAATAATAATAATAACAACAATAATAACAATATTAATAATAGTAATAATAACAATAAAAATAACAACAATAATAATAATAATAACAATAAAATTAACAATAATAATAACAATAATAATAATAATTTTAACAAATATTACATATACATATTAAACAGTTTAATAATGACAAAGTAATAACGACAGTAATAAAAATGTAAAGAAAATGTAAGTAATATTAACATCACATAATATAATAATAGGGCATTTCCAAAAAATCACACATGGAAATTCGTATATGTTTTTACTTTTATTTTCATAAAAATGAAACAAGCAATCTCCAATTTACTCTTATTTAATTCTAATCAATATAAATATTTTGTAAACAAAAAATAGTAAGCATTAGTAATGTTAACAAAGAATAAATAAAGTTTGAAATGGAATCATGCACGGAACAAAAAAACTTCTATTTTAGTTACTAGATAAATAAACTTTAATTCCTCGGAAAATATAAGTTTTACCGGTATACTTTTTTTTTTTAATAATATTTTAAACATTAGTAAAGATTTCTAGAAAGTTACAGGATTGCACTATGAATCAGAGTCACAGCAATCATTTAAAGGCAGTTTATGAATGACCACGCACAGAAGTCACGCACGGATGTTGCGAATTTGTCAATTTCATGTAGTTATTTTTATGAAAATAAATTGCTTGTGAGTATTTCAAGTGAAATATTATACTTCTACGACTCTTATTTAATATATTTTTGATGAGAAATGGCAGTCATCAGTTATTTCTAGCTAGAGTATTGGGTTTTAAAAGTTATTGTATATTTTATAAAATCTAGCGATATTATTACTCAAAAAAATAAAATTGTAAAAATGTGTATATTTAATTTATTCAGATAGCCTTAAATATGATAAAAATATTTTTGTTATAATTGTTCTTTAAGAAAATCAAAATATTATGCATATTGCATAAAGTCCCAGCTTTTAATTGCTAAAACAAAGAAAAATAAAAAATCACGCACAGAAATGGAAATGCCCAATACTAATAACAATAGTAATAATAATCTATTATAAGTCTAAGATTTTAATTTGAGTATTTTTCTATCAAATAGTCAAAAAGACGGCTTTTAAATTGCGAAATAGAGTCGAGGGATTGAAAATGTAAAGGTAAATTATTCCATGATTTTACGCATTGGTTTGTAATAGAATTATCACCGTATTTTACCAAACAGTGACTTGGAATAGATAATTTAAAGTTACTTAGAGATGGAATGTAATAATGAGAAATTTTTTTAGTGGTAAAAAATTTGGAGAATGACAGAGATAGGTTTATAATTCCAGAAACTTGTTTATAATTCCAGACAAATAGACAATTTAATAAATAAACAAGATCATATTTATATATTTTATATATATATATATATATATATATATATATATATATATATATATATATATATATATATATATATATATATATATATATATATATATATATATATATATGTATATATATATTTTAAATGAAAAACCTTGATAAAATAATTTTTTTCTCAAGGTTATATTTATCTTGAAAGAATATCATTTCTGTACCATTTTATTTTAATTTTTAATTATGGATTAATGCATGTTCAGGAACAAAATTAGCTGTATAAAATATCCTTTGCAACTCTTTGGTTGCAAAGTTTTTGAATGAAACTATTTTACAAAAAAAAAATCTGCTTTTCTTAAATATAATCATAATTAATGAAAAATATATATATAAAAATATATTTATATAAAAAACCTTTAGTTCTTCTTTAATTATATAAATCAATTATATAAACTAAATTATTCTATGTGTTAAAACTTGCATTATCTTAACACTTAGAAATGAACAATAATTTCAAAAAATCAATAAACAGAATTTGAAATGAAAAGTGACTTTAAAATATGACAAGACATTTTTCAAAAAAAAATATTGTCTGTTATTAATAAAAATTTTAGCTTTAAATTTTTTAAGATTTTCTATTGAGCATGTTCACTAATAAAAAATTTGACAAACCTAAATTACAGCCTACAGTATCTGTTAGAACTATACTTTCTTCTTCAACTGCAACTTCAGAAGGTATGTCACAAACCTCATGGCATTTACTGTCATCCTGAAAAACTTCAACATCAGGAACTTTGGTCTCTTCTGCTGGATTATTGTCCCAGTCATCTACAATATCTGAAGTAGTTAAGATTAAAAAATATAGGCAATAAAATAACTAACACATTTGGCTTATGAATAGCTTCAAATAAAAAACAGCTAACCTTCAGTTGGCACCAAAACATCTGGGAGAATAGGAGATTGAACAACAGGAGTTTGAACAACAGGAAGTTGGGTTGTAGGTGCTGATTTAATAAACGAAGGGACAAAGGCTGCAGCATTCACATTTGGAACAAAAGGTTTCGCTGCAACATTTAACTCAGAAACTCCAATTGAAACTTGATCCCATGGGTTTGACATTATTATGTTATTGAGTCTATGATTTATGTTGAAAATTTATTGTACATAAAATATTAATGAATATATATATATATATATATATATATATATATATATATATATATATATATATATATATATATATATATATATATATATATATATATATATATATATATATAATATATATATATATATATATATATATATATATATATATATATATATATATATATATATATATATATATATATATATACACGCCAGGGTTGGCAAAAAAACCCAACCCAAAAAAACCAAAAAAAACCCACCTTAAAAAAACCCAATAAAACCCAAAAAAACCCAAAATATTTTTGGGTTTTTTTAAAAATGTCCTATTTTACAACTGATAACTCTGATTTTAACACTTATAAATGCTTTATTATCAGCAAGTGCAACTTTTATGCTGTAATTACTCTTGTAAACACTGTATTTATATACATAATGGTCTTTAGAATATACCCAAAATCGATCAATCTGTTTTTGTAGCAAGTTGAATATCTATTATTTTTT